CTGGTATCCTGTCACCAAGTCACCCTTTATTTACTTGTGATCAGCCAGCTCGGAGTCAGTCCCCCTGAACTGAGGAGATTCTAAACCTCCTGGGTTTTTTTTTCTTTTTTCTATAAATACTCCACCACCAAGAAAGCACCCATGTGGCCAAGGAACCAGTGACAAGCAAAGCCCTGGTATGCACAATGTTTATGTGAACGAGAAAATGAGGGGGAGGGTAAAGACTAAATCGAAATAGGATTGGAATGGGAAATAGAACTCTCCAGCCCCTGCAGTGCGCACCTCTCCCTAAAGGCATCAAGAATGCTTGTGGACACCACATGCTCATTTTCCAGGGACACCCAAGCTTAACCTCCTGGTTACATTGATCAGCCAGGGCATTCCTGATTGGCCAAGGTTAACAATCCCAATCAAGGATCTCGTAATCAACAAGATTCAACTGGTTCCAGTCACTACAAACTATATCCCATACTTCTACAGCCAATCCAATGCTAACAAAACCATGGTAACACCTCCTCATAGAGGCTTTTAGAGAAGGCAAAGAAACCCCGGCAAACAATATTTTTTGCCTGCTGTCGATAATCTGTGGAAAAAATTGTAGGAAATTGCTACAATGAATTCAATAATCACCACTTCATTCATTTCATACAAGTCATTTATAAAATGGGATTTGCCGGAGTCTACCACTACAGGCAATAGACCACATTATGTTTCCAGTCAGTTCACAGAGTTCCTACCAAATTATGGAATTAATCACCAGCCAAAAATACAAAGCAACTCACAAACAAATGGTGGCATTGAGCAATTTAACAGGATGATCAAGGGCAGTCTAAGAACTAGCATGTCAGAAAAGAATTTGTTAGAACAAGCCATCCATATCTTATTTCACAAATATCGATCCATCCCATACGCTCTGACTGGAAAATCATTGACCAACCTCTGATAAATTATAACTTTTGCATGCCACCAACCATTATTAAACGCTCAGCACCAGTTAATGGGAATGTCAAAATAAAACCAGATAAAATTGCAAACCAACAAGAAGCAAAAATATATACTGACAAACGAATGGGCTCAAGGAAGCCACGATTTGAGGTTGGGGATTGTGTGTGAGATTGTGCCCAAATTCACATCTTCAAAAAAGATCCAAAACAGTTTAAGCAATTGCTCAGGATCAATGCATACTAGACAATAACACAAGAAAGAATGTGAGACAGTTGACAGAGAGTAGATCTGGATATTCAGAGGACCGTGTGATTGAATATCTTGATAAACAAGCTGATCATACGAAGTTAGAAAGGAATCCAATTTGTAGGATTTGCATTCCCTTATCCTCTTCACAAATCTGTCTAAATGCTGTCAGATTAGTTGAAATTTCCCATGACCATTAACTTATGTATTTTCTTAATCATTTGCCGAATTTGTTTGAAGCACACCCTTCCAACCTCACTTCCATGCTCTGAGTGCTCTATAAATTACTCCCATTAGTGTGATTAATCTTTTCCCTTTTATCTATTCTTTCTATCGGTATGGATTCTGCTTTACAGATAGCAGTGTCACTCTTCCGTACATTCATTATATTACCTCAAATAAATTCAATGCCAATGCCAATGCTTCCTTTTCTTCCTTTCCATTTTTCAAAATGTGGAGGAGCCAGTGCTGGACTAGGATGGACAAAGTCAGAAGTCACACAGGTTTATTTGAAATCACAGGCTTTCAGAGTGCTGCTTCCTCATCAGGTGACTGGTATCACATGACAGCAAGTTATAATCCTGTTAAACTATAAACTGGTATCATTCTGACTTTGTCCATTTTTCAACCTATGGGTTTTACTAAAAAAAAGGCACATTTTGTCAAAGCTTTTAATCATGCAAAGAAAATTCACCAGAAATATTAAAACTAAAAGTAAAAACAAAACTATTCTGTCAAGAGAATACTGATTGGCTAGGAAGTGAACACTGATTGAACACTGATTGTTCTGAGGAAGGGTCACCGGACCCGAAGCGTTAACTCTGTTTTCTCCTCCACAGATGCTGCCAGACCTGCTAAGCTTTTCCAGCAACTTTGTTTTTGTCACTGATTGGCAGAGGCATTGCCGTGGAAAATATACCAGTGAAGTTGTTGACTTGCTCGCCGAGCTGGCTTGTTTTTGTTCAGACGTTTCGTCACCACGCTAGGTGACATCATCAGTGAGGCCTCCGATGAAGCGATGTTATTCTACTCCACTTGAAATTTATACTGTCCGGCCCATTATGGTGAGTAGTGTCATTTCTGTTTTTGTTCTGTGTGGGTTTGTATATGGGGTCCAATTCTATATGTTTGTTGATTGCATTATGAGTTGAGAACTATGCCTCAAGGAATTCCTGTGCGTGTCTATGTTTGGCTTGGACTACTGTAGTTATATTGTCCCAGTTAAACTGATGGCCTTCATTGTCCAAGTGTATTGATATTAAGGAAAGTTTGTCGTGTCGTTTTGCTGCTAGCTAATGTTTGTTTCTCACCCTAATGCAATCCACAAACATAGAAAATTCGACCCCATATACTAACCCCTACAGAACAAAACCAGAAATGACACTACTCACCATAACGGACCGGACAGTATAAAATTCCAAGTGGAGTAGAACAACATCGCTTTATCGGAGGCCTCACCAATGATGTCACCTAGCATGGTGATGAAATGTCTGAACAGAAGCAAGCCAGATAGGCGAGCAAATCAGCAACCTCACCCACAAACCGAGCTACAGATCTTTGCTAAAACTTTAATACACCATTTAGATGGAAACCGCAAGTTAATTGCCAAGATTTGTTTAAATTTAAACCTGGAAAATTAACTATGATTGGCCTAAGCATTGCCCCTGAGAAGTGAACTGGAATACGGTGGATAAGGTAGTCAAGAAGGTGTATGGCATGCTTGCCTTCATCAGTCAGGGCACAGAGTATAAAAATTGGCAAGTTAGGTTGCAGCCGTATAGAACTTTAGGTGGGCCACATCTGGAATATTGCATACAGTCTGGTCACCACACTACCAGAAGGGTGTGGAGGCTTTGGAAAGGGTACAGAAAAGGTTTCCTCGGATGTTACCTGGTTTGGAGGTTATTAGCTTTGAGGACAGATTGGACAAACTTGGTTTCATTTCACTTGAACGTTGAAGGCTGAGTTGTGGGGGGGGTGCCACCTGATAGAAATTTACAAAATGACAAGAGGCATGGATAGGACGGATAGTCGGAATCTCTTTCCCAGTGTAGAAATGTCAATTATTAGAGGACGTGGGTCTCAGGTAAAGGGAGAAATTTTAAAGGAAATGTGAGAAGCAAGTTTCTTTTACACAGGTAAGTGCCTGGAACACACAAGCAGTGGAGGTGGACGAAACAGATACAACAGCAATATTTAAGATGCATCTTGACTGATACATGAATAGGCAGGGAATAGAGGGATATGGACCGCACTGAGGCTGAAAGATTTAGTTTAGAAAGGCATCATCTGCTGGCACATGGTAGACCAAAGAGCCTGTTCCTGTGTTGTAATGTCCTTTATTCTTCTTTAGTTTTTGTTCAACAAAAGGAAACATAACAGAGAGGTTGTCTAAGAGTATGAAATACTTTCAATAAATCATAAATTTACTCAATGTACATGGACATCAAGACAAAATAGCAAAACATATAATTTGGTATTTGGACCAAATTTTCTGAAATTTCTTTCATTTATGAATGGTGAACTTTCCTTAGATAATGCCAGACCCACCTCCTGTTGTATCAATTGCTAAACTTACGTTACATTGCAGTATTAATTTAATTGAAAAAAACAAGTTTACACACCCATTCAATCATGTGCCGTTGACTTGACAGATGATAGCTCAGCTTTGAACTCAGCATTTGTTACATTATGTTTGATTTAAATAACAACAAAAATCCACTTGTTTGAGCTAATTTCAAATAAACAAACTGGTGGTAGCCATTCTCAAGTTTATTTCTCAGGCGTAATGCCTTGATGAAGCATAGTAAACCTGCCTGGTTTAAATTTAAACAAAGTTCAAAGGTTAACTAGCGATCACCAATTGGTGCATTCTCTATTGCAATGCCTCTATCAACCAGAATCTGCTTGTCGATCAATGAGCAATCTCTTCCCAGACTGTAAATAAATGTTGCTTTCCTTTCACATTGTCATTCTTCCAAATTATCCAGGAAGTGCAAGATGAAAAGCTTTGACAAGATACATCCTTTTTGAGCAAAGCTCGTGCCCTGTGCTACAAAACATCTTTCTAAACTTATGTTTTGCAATGGTTAATTTCCAGTCCTGATATTTACAGAGCCATCTCTTAACAATCACGACTGTATCTGGTTTCTTACAACACATTATTGCCTCCAGTTCTCCTTTTGTTCTATGGATACAATGCACATAATTTGCAGATATAGCTTAATTAATTTTAATTACAGTTCCTCTCACTATAATTTCAATCTTTTTATTCTACACACCTATCCTACACCCCTATTTGTTCACTGCCTGCACCAGCGCAGTCTATCCCATTTTTTTCTTCCCTGTATTAACTCCAATTTATTTCCTGCAGATCCCTCATCCTGCTTACCAATTTCAAGTCATTGACGTCTTCCTACTTACTCTTTCTGTTGCACCATAGTTCCATTATGGTTCAGATGGTGCTTATCAGTTGGCAATTTCTCCACATCAGTGGGACCATCATCTGATTAATTGGTATCTTCCAAAGTGTTGTGGGAAACCCTGTAGATTTAAGGGCGCAGCTTAGCCAATATCTTGCTAAGGAACCTGGGTTCTCCATGTCAGCATTTGATAATGTGACTATTGATTGTTAGCACTGGGTGTTTTAAATTATATTACTGCATTTCCTTCCAAATTTTTGCAATCTAAAAAAAATGTATAAAGTATTAAGATGAGAATGTTTTCATTTGTTTTTGAAATCCACAGTGGCAAAATCAAGTGAAACATGTATTATCATCTCCTTCAATAATTAACATTTTGTTCCACAGAAACTAATCTATATCGTTCTGATGATACTCTGCCACAAGATAAACAGTCACCTGGCCATAGAACTGGAATATAAAGTGCGAGAGAATGAAAATGAAGGAGTTTTTATTGGAAACATAGCCACAGATATACTTTTGACATCAGTTACTACCTGTGATTCACTGGCTTACAAATTCATGAAAGAAATGGATTATGTGATTCTCAGGCATGAGAGTGGAGAGCTATATACAACCAAGCAGAGAATCGACAGAGAAACCTTATGTCCAGTCGAATTCCGTGGTGATCCTTGTGTCCAAGAAGTCAATGTGGTTATTCTATGTGCTGATCAGTATCTGCAAATGGTGAAAGTTAAGATAGTCATCCTGGATGTCAATGATAATGCACCGTATTTTGCAGAACAAGTGATGAAACTTTCTATTCCAGAAGATGCAGCTGCAGGTACATCGTTTGGAATTGACTATTATGCAACTGACAATGACACTGGAGAGAACAGCATTAAACATTATTATCTTGAAAATAGCCAAAATATTTTCAGCTTGAATGATGGTGAAACACCCTCCATTGTTGTCCATCAACCATTAGACAGGGAGGTGAAGGACTTGTATGAAATGAAAATTGTGGCTGTGGATGGCGGTGTACCCCCTTTATCTGGAACAGCCACACTTCTGATCAACATTCAAGACATTAATGATAACTGCCCCATTTTTAATGTATCAGAATTTGATATTCAGATCCCTGAAAACATGTCCTCCAATAGTGTAGTGACGCAGCTACATGCCTTTGATGCAGATCTAGGCCCCAATGCTGAAATCAGCTATTCTTATGGCAATCGAGTTCAGGAGATATCCAAGAAACTATTTACCTTACATAGTGACACTGGGCTTATCACGTTTTCTGGAAATAAAAATCCAGAGATATCTCCTATACATAAACTCACAGTATTAGCTAATGGTCCAGGCTGTGCCCCAGCTATAGTTCAAATTACAGTGTCTGTCATGCACAGCAGCAAATACAGTCCAAAGTTGGAGATCAGCTATATAGCTAACCAGGCAGATGGTGTGATTTACCTGAAAGAGACTGCACCTGATAATACCCCAATTGCTCTCCTCGAGGTAACTGACCCAGATCATTATTTAAAAGGGACAATCTATATCAGCGGCAATGTGCCTTTCTATTTAAAACCCTACGAAAGGTCAAGAAATAAGCATCTTGTAGTCACATCACAGCTTTTAGACCATGAGCTTGAAAACCAATATAAGATTGTAATTAAGGCAGAAGATCCTCACAGTCTTCATGAACTAACAATACATGTTAAGATTACTGATGAAAATGACAACTCCCCAGAATTTTGCCAAAGCTCCTTCGAGGCTTCCATTGAAGAAAACAATATACCAGGAGCTTTTTTACTGAAGATCTCAGCAACAGATGCTGACAGCGGCCAGAATGGGAAAGTGACTTACCACTTGGGACCTGATGCTTTACCCATCTTTTCAATTGAACAAATCACGGGAAATTTAATAGTGTCCACCGCTTTGGACAGGGAAAAAGACAAACTGTATAGGTTTTCTGTTTCTGCTGTTGACCATGGAATTCCTCCCAGAAAGAGAAGCACTATTGTAATCATTCATGTCTTGGACCAGAATGATAACACACCCTCCTTCCTCACCAATGACTATACATTCTTTATTCCAGAAAACTTCCCGAGACATGGTGAAATTGGAGTCATCAATGTAACAGATTTAGACGAAGGGGCTAATGGTAATGTTACTGTGTCCATCCTGAATAGTAGTAGCCATTTTTTAATGGACAACACCAGAGGGATATTACGTTGCAATTCTTCAGTCGATCGAGAGAAACATACCATGCATGTATTCTGGGTTGAGGCTGTGGATGGTGGGAGATCACCTCTCTCCGCAACAGCAAAAATAACTGTATTTGTTTTGGACATAAATGATAATCCTCCAACTGTATTACTTCCTCAGTCAAACATATCATGGCTTCTTGTGCCCCCTAACACACCCCAAGGAACCGCAGTGGCTGAGATTTATGCCATTGACTATGATGCTGGTATTAATGCCGTCATGACTTACACTATTGTTGGGAGGAATGGTCCTGCTCCTCATGTGTTTGGAATTAATACAGCGACAGGAAATATTACATTGCAAGAGAAACTGTTGAGCAAAGACTATGGTTTGTATCAACTACTCGTAAAAGTCAGTGATCTTGGGCAACCCCAGCCTCTCCATTCCACAGTCATGGTCAATTTGTTTGTCAATGAGACTGTGAGTAATAAAAGTTACTTGGAAGACTTGTTGCACAGACGAACTGTTTTCACAGAAGAAATGCAAACTGAACCAAATCCATGCCCATTGTTACAGACATTAGACATCCCCTGTTCACCTCCAATCATTCCCATTGCAATCACAATGATCATTGTCTCTATTATTTTCTTTACCATTTCTCTTTGTATGCTTCTAAGCATGAGAAAGAAAAGCAAAAAAAAAGAACTTTACATAGATGCCAAGATACCATTAAAAATAAATCTTGACTATTATACAAAAGACTGGAATGATGAACAGTTGTAGAACTCAAAAACTTGTTCAAGAAAACACAGGAAAGACTGCAGTAAACATATGAAGAATGACTTTGTAGTTTACTTAAAATAATAAACTGCATTTCAAGGACATTTTTATCTTTCTTAAATATATATGTATATATATATTTATAACATTTTGTCATAAAATTATGTGCTAACAAAACCATGAATACGTACTACTGAGAAATCTGGCATACATAGGAACCTGGGGTAGCCTAGCACTTTTCTTGATGTCATTTTTCTTATAAAATGTTACAGGAGAATTCAGCACAAAACTAAAGAACTATTAACTTGGTTTGTTAAACTATTGGAGCTAACTTTCTTCATCATGGACTGAACATTCTGTGAAAGACACGTTTCTTACAGTGCTCATTTGTTTCCTTCATATCTTATCAGTGTGCCAAAACCAAGTTTGTATTTCGAAGCTTCTGTTAAATTACGTTTAGACAGCCATTTTTGTATTGCAAAAGTGGTCCAGTTTGTAGTTCACAACAGCAACAACAGTTGAATTTTCAATAGTCTAGAGTTACTGTTTATAATTCAGAGGGATGCTTTAATTTGGGTTTCTGAAAGTTTGATTTATTCAATCCTTGCCTGCAATCCAATCCAAAACATGACAATGTATTAATGGAGAATGGGGCACAATTGGATGCTGTGGGCTATGATCTATCACAGTTTCAATTTACCGTTGATTTCGCCCATCACCCAAAGGAACACTTCTCTGCTGCCCCTTCTCAACTAACCAGTCGTGAGTATCAAGAAATGGGAAGGGCTACGATCGCTAGTTGTCCTCCTCTCTGCCCTAGTTAATGCCACTTGCTTGAATCAAAATATAACAGGTGCCAACAGACCAGAGGTAGTGGCTATAATAGATCTAAGGTCGAGAACTGAAGGAAAGGACGTACAAGTCCCAAGGGATAATTTTAAAATCAAATACTGTTTGTGAAAAATTAGTATTTCAGGTCCAGACTCAATACCCCTCAATTTCTGTCTATTCCCAGTTTTAATAAATTGAATCTTATCATACACATGGAAGCATTTTTGGAAGTGTTTGGTAACTAAGGATAACAATTTATCATTCATCAAGTACCTGCTTCACAGCAGGCGCTCCACCTTAACTACTCTCCATGCCCCTCTGAGGTCAAAGCCTAGCACATGCCTCCCTGTGACACGCCAGAAGACCAGTGAGAGCTGATGTAGTTGCATCCCATCTGCACCCTAGAGTTACAAGTTTCAAAGTGCTACAGCTGTGGCTGGAGGCGACCTCGTGTGGGAGATTTCCCTTCACAATGTTTACCTGGCAGCTGTGGCCGCTGTTCATTTTTAAGCATTCTAAAGTCTTCAAAGGACACCTCCATTTTGACATGCTCTCACACTTACCTATCAATAATGGCAAAACCCACACTCTCTCTCAATGCGAGCTGCCAGCCATCTGAGTCTTTGGACCTCGAGTTAGTCTCCCTATCTGAGCAGCCCACCCATCATTCTGAATTGGATGGGGCTCAAGCAACCTCCAAGAGGATTGTGCAGACGGGCTTACCTCAGAAATCATCAGGCCAAGGTCCCAGGAGCAATCCGTGCCCACATTTAAGAAATGCAGTAAAATTTCGCCATCGTCAGCTGGACAGGAGGAGAATGACCTCCTCTGTTCTCAACTGAAGGGTCGACCACCGAAAGCATTTTAAGGAGCCTCAAAGACTCCATTCAATTCTGCTTTCTATTTTGAACACATCAGCCAGTTTTCCTGGGCCTCTGCAAAACCATGGAGCACTGCTTGAAGGAATGAGCTTCCTCCCAGCCAAATTGACAATCCTGTAAACACCGTTGGTCCCCTGCCTATCTGACACTGTGACCACACACTCCACACCTCCTTGATCTCCCACTGACTGACTGCTCTCTCCCCATGGCTCATGATCTGTCTACACTCCCAACCCCCAAAATCATTGATCGCACTCCACTAGCAAGACTTATCGCCCCTGCATCTATGTTCCTAGATAGTTACCTATGTTGGCAGTTCCTTTATAAAGGACATTCCACACTCAGCTGTGTTGACCTCTCCCTACATATGGATTCCTACACACACATGTAGGTTGTGTCATACATTAAGATCCTTACCCCCTCGTCTGATTCAACCTGTCCCCATATATAAATCCTGACGCAACACCCTTGACACCTAACTAGCTGTAACTTCCATAACCTTTGGGGATTCTTCAAGTGATGCAGTGACAGTCCCACCGGGATTCTGCAGTTGGGCATTGGTCAAATAGAAATCCTTTTAGAAGGCTAGCAAGCATAAGCATAAGCTGCACCCCAACCCCCGCGCCAAAAAACTAAATGTGTTGGGCTGAGCTGAAGGGACAAGTGGAAGTTCATGACTGTCCAGAAGAGATAAATCCAGCCCAGATGAATTCTCTGCTTTACTATAATAAAGCAGGAAACACCATCACTTCAAAGAGTGTTTTCTTATATGATGAACCAATGCCTCTATCTTCAATATTTAGTTCCGTTTTGATTGGATACTTTGATTTTTATGTGTAAATGCATGGACTGATGGGAATTCCCCCATCACACTATCATCCATATTATGTAAGACTCAAGAACTTTTTCAAGCAACAGTTTGATCCATGAGTGCCTCCACATTAAAAAAATAACTTTGAATAGCAGCAGTGTTACAACAGTGCTCCCACATGCTCAACAAATTATGGAGAAATACTTAAGTCTTTCAGAAAGATTTATAATCACTGTGGTCAAATAAAGCATTCTTTTATTGATTTTTATTGAGATGGTTTTTGGATTTTATTCTGACAGCCAAAATACAAATGCAAGAATAAGATCTGCAGTTGATATTTTTGACGGGGCAGTGAATATTGACATTACATTTTGACAAAGAATTACAACTGCAGTAAAGCAGAAGTACAGCTAAATCTGGAAGTCCTTGATATGTATAGTCTGACTGCTGCCATTTTTGATAGGAGAGAACCCAAGCAGTGTTATATTGGGTTTCAATGGGGAAGGTTTGTGCGTTGGATAGACCATCTCATGTTCTAGGTTGTTGAGTTGCTGGCCGAGTTGGCTTGATCTCATTCAGACGTTTCATCACCATGCTAGGTGTCATCATAAGTGGAGCCTCTGATGAAGAGGTGTTATTCTACTGATTGCAGAAGCAATGATGCGAAGATCAGAACACACCATCCTCCCCCCGCATTCAACCTAAACTTCGGTACATAGATCCGGTACGTAGTCAACACATTTGTGATTATTAAACGCAACAAATTAGAAGAGACCCACCACCTCATCAACAGCGTATTCACAGGGATTAAGTTCACAAGGGAAGAAGAAAACAACAATCAATTTCCGTTTCTGGATGTTAAAGTTGAGTGCATGACCAACAGGGAGTTCCAAACCTCAGTATATAGAAAAGCAACTCATACTGATCAAATCCTCAACTTCCACAGCAATTACCCCAACGCACAAACAAAGCTGCATTAGGACACTATTTAAATGGGTCAGGATGCACTGCAACACCCCAGTTAACTCCGTAAGGCCACCCCTCAACCTCCTATGCTTAACACGACACAGGAAAGAGAAAGAGCACCGAAACAAAATCCTCGCTATAAACGGAAATCCCTGCAACTTCACCAGCAGTTACCTACTAAACAGACAACAACAGGAGAACACAGTACACCCTAACACACTGGCCACACTGCCCTACATCAAGAACATATCGGAACTGACAACAAAACTCCTAACACCACGAGGAATCATGATGTCCCACAAGCCCCCAGCCACTCTACGACAAACACTTAGAAGGATTAAAGACCCCATTCCCAACACATTTAGAAAATACCATGCAATGACTGCCACAAACATTACATTGGACAGACAGGAAGGAAACTAGCCATCAGAATACATGAACATCAACTAGCAGCAAAACTACATGATAAACTCTCCTTAATATCAGTACATTCAAACAATGAAGGCCATCAGTTCAACTGGGACAAAGTAACTATAGGAGCCTAAACCAAATATAGATAAGCACAGGAATTCCTAAAGGCATGGTTCTCCAACCATAATGCAATCAACAAACATATAGAATTGGACCCCATATACAAACCCGTACAAATCAAAACTGGACATGACACTACTCACCATAATGGGCCAAACAGAACAAATCCAAGCGGAGTAGAATAACATCACTTCATCGGAGGCTCCACTGATGATGTCACCGAGCATGGTGATGAAACGTCTGAACGAGAGCAAGCCAGCTCGGTGAGCAAGTCAATAACCTCACCCACAACCCAAGCTACAGATCTTTGCCAAAACTTTGAATCTCATGTTATAACAAAAATTTCAAGACGTTAAAGATTGAATACCAAAGTAGAGGGTTTTCCTTGCTTCATGGAATATTTTATGGCTGCTGGGTGAAGCATCAAGCTTCATCACAGATATTTTATGTTTTGCATTGACACAGAATGGCAGTTGTAATAAAAGTGCTCACTTATTTATGCATTTTCTACTGATATATCTTTACAGGCTCTGGAACCTGCTGATGCGGATCAAAGAATAGAGGCAAGAACAGTAGCAATTCTTGATTGATAGCTGTGTATCTCTATAGGTTGGCTATGTCAGTAGGATGGACCCAATGGTTATTGTAATTATTTTGAGGCACAGACCTGTGGCCAAGTGTTTCCAAGCATGGGTTTATATTGTTTTGTCTGTGCTTCCTAACCTGCCATTCAGCAGCCAGCCAAAAAACTGAATGAACTTGACTCCATGATAGCAATGTACTGTTTAGGAATTGAACACTAGTTGTACAGTGAAAGATAGTCAAGAAACAGATTTATTTTTGCTTTGGACATGTATTGTAAAGTTTGTAAATCACTTCATTTACTTGTATTGTGTTGAATAAGCTTGCTAGTAGTTTGTTGAACTCAGTCTGATAATAATGTTCTTTAATCTGCCATTAAAGAGAACTGAATCACATGTTGACTTTTATCCATACTGCCAATCTGACCTACAAAGGTAATTTTATTCTGTTTGATGCTTGGACTTTCCTATTGTTCACCTTGATGCTGAACTGTTAAAGGCACTTAGATCATAGTCATACAGCACAGAAACTGACCCTTCCATCCATGCACTCCATGCCAACCATAATCCCAAACTAAACTAGTCCCACTTGCCTGCTTTTGGCCCATATCCCTCCAAACATTTCTCATTCATGAGCTTATCCAAATGCCTTTTACACACTATAACTGTACCCACATTCATTACTTCCTCTGTAAGTTCATTCCGCACACGAACCAGTCTCTACGTTAAAAAATTGCCACTCATGTCTTTTTTAAATCTTTCTCCTCTCACCTTAAATATATATCCCCAGTCTTGAATTGCCCCACCCGAGGGAAAAGATACCTGCCATTCACCTTATCTATACCCTACATGATTTTATAAATCTCTATAAGGTGACCTGTCAACCTCAAGCTCCAACGGAAAAAGGTCCCTGTCTACCTAGCCTCTCCTATAACTGAAACTCTCCATTCCCACCAACACCCTGGTAAATCTCTTCTGAGCCCTCTCCAGCTTAACAATATCCTTCCTATAACAGGGCAACCAGAACTGGACACAGTACTCCAGAAGGGGCCTCAGCAACGTCCTATACAGCCTCAACATGATGCTCCAAATCTTATACTCAAAGGTCTGAGCACTGACAGCAAGCATGCTAAACACCCTCTTAACCACCCTGTTTATAGAATCCCTACAGCGTGGAAACAGAAAATGAAATCTGATTTTAACTTTGAGATCATGCAAACACGTATTATTGGAGTTAATCCTCGTGGGGTTTCTTGTGCTTGAGGATGGAAGAGACATGAAAAATACTTGGGAAAATAGCATTTTCAGGGATTCCTTTGGCTCTTCAACTGACATTGCAGCAGAGAAGCATGAAAACCTTCACAGAAATTTATTGATTTGTAAATTTGTAACCTTGGTATTTTTTGAAAGGAAGTAATAAAATTTTCTAAGTTTTACTTTCTAATTATTTGCACTCAGTAGGTTACTAAGTTTTAAGACACATGATTAATGTGATATACAAGTGTAAGCGTCTCATTTACACATTTGCTTCATTTAAACTATCAATAAAATTTTATAATATTTCAGGCACATAAAAAAAGTGTTCCATGCTCAATAAAGTATTAAACTTCATCAATACTGTTTCTATAATGATACTTAAATAAAACATATCCACATGCGATTATATTGCTATTGGACTATGCTTCATATGTTAGACTATTTTTCAAAAACATCTGCACAAGCTGTGCCTTTTAAGACCATAAGGCCATCATAAATAGGAACAGGAATAGGTCATTTGGTGCCTCAAGCTTGTTCCACCATTCAACAGGATTATAACTAATCCAAAATTCTTCATTTCACTTTCCTGCATTTTCTCCATAACTCTCAATTCCCTTATGAATCAAGAATCTCAGCCTTAATTATACACAAGGACTCTGCCCCCATAGCTCTCCATGGCAAGAAATTCCAAAGACCCTCAACATTCAGAAGAAATTCCTCCTCATCTCAGGAACCCTTTTACTCTGAGACTACGCCCTCTGGTCCTAAGTTCTCTCATGTGGGGAAATACCTTCACAGTATTTACCTTGTCAAGCCCCTCAAGAATCCTACATGTTTTAATGAGATCATCTCTTATTTGTCTCAACTCCAGAGAGTAGAGTCCCATCCTGTTTAGCCTTTGCTCATAAAACAATTTCTCCATACCGGGGATCATCCTAGTGGAACAACTCTGAACTGTCACAAATGAAATAATATCTTTTTTAAATAAGCGGACCAAAATTGCTCACAGTACTCCAGATGTTGTCTCACTAACAACTTACAGAATTGCGGTAAGATTTCCCATGAAATAATGGCCAATGTGCGTTAGCTTTCTGTGTTTCCTGCACAAGCATCCCTACGTCCCATCGTGTTGCAACTTTCTGCAGTTTTTCTCCATTTAAATAATACTCTCTTCTTCTGTTCTCCCTTCAAAAAATGAAGAACTTCACATTTTTCCACATTATAGGCCATTTGCCAACATATTATCCAGTGACTTAACCCAGCAATATCTCTCTGTAAGCTGCTCATATCCCTCATAACTTGACTTTTTGCATATTTTTATGTTATCTGCAAATTTGGCTTACAGTGCATTTGCTTCCTTCCTTGAAGTCATTAATATATATTGTAAACAGTTGTGATCCCAGCATTGATCCCTGTGGAGCCCCAATGGTTATCAACCTGAAAAAATAACCCATTATCCTAACTCGCTGTTGCCTGTCCTTTAGCCAATTCTCTATCAATGCTGACGTATGACTTTCAACACCATGGGCTCTTATCTTTTAACTTAACCTTTCAGTCATAGAGGCATAGAGATATACTTGTCCAACTTGTCCAAGCCGACCAGATATTCTAAATAAATCAAGTCCCATTTGCCAACATTTGATCCATATCCCTCTAAACCCTTCCTTTTCATATACCCATCCAGATGCCTTTTAAATGTTGTAATTGTACCAGCCTCCACTGCTTCCTCTGGCAGCTCATTCTATATACCCACCACCCTCTGTGTGAAAAAGTTGCCCCTTAGATCCCTTTTAAATTTTTCCCTTCTCACCTTAAACCTATGCCCTTTAGATTTGGACTTCCCACCCAAGGGAAAAGGCCTTTGCTATTCACCCTATCCATGCCCCTCGTGATTTTGTAAACCTCTATAAGGTCATCCCTCAGCCTGTGATGCTCCAGTGAAAATAGCCCCAGCCTAATCAGCTCTCCCTATAGCTCAAACCCTCCAATCTTCTCTGACCCCTTTCAAGTTTCACAACATCTTTCCTGTAGCAGAGAGACCAGAATTACACACCGTATCCCAATGGTGGCCTAATCAATGTTGCAACATGACCCCCAACCCCTACACTCAGTGGACTAGCCAAGAAAAGGCAAGCGTACCAAATGCTTTCTTCGCTATCCTGTCTAACTGCGACTCCACTTTCAAGAAACTATGAACTTGCACTCCAAGGTCTTTTTGTTCAACAATACTCCCCAGGACCTTATCATTAATTGTATAAGTCCTACCCTGATTGCCCTTTCTAAAATGCAACACCTCACATTCATCTAAATTAAATTCCATCTGCTACTTCTCAGCCCATCGGTCCATCCGATCAAGATCCTGCTGTACCCTGAGGTAACCTTCTTCGCTGTCCACTACACCTCCAATTTTCATCTGCAAACTTACTAACCATACCTCCTATATTCACATCCAAATCATTTATATAAATGATGAAAAGCAGTGGACC